GACTTGGTGGCAGTGACATGGGCAGATGCCTCACAGCACAACAGACGACAGGTCAAGCACCCTCGGTGTCCTCACGGGCATCGGACCGGCAGCGGCTTTGGAGGGCGAAGAAGTCCAGTTCGCCCTGGTGCAATGGAAGTCCGGTCGGACCCCTCGACAAGTTCTCGGGTCAAATGGCGCAGAGGTCCAGGCCATCGCAACGGGAGAGGACCAGAACCACATGGTCAGGCTCATGATGGCTGAGCTGGATGGCGAGCCAATCGACAGGAGCAACCTGCCGATGGCCGTGCGGAAAGTCGGAGGAGCTTTGGTGATGGATAGCCGCGGCATCTTCGACGCCATGACGCGGAACCTTTCCTCGCTGCACGGGCTTCGCGACTCCCGCAGTGGCTACGAGCTCACCATTGCGGTGAACTCGGCTCTGAAAGCTGGGACCCAGTTGAGATGGGTGAATGGACTGGCACAGTTGGCGGACAGCCTCACCAAGGCTGGCGCTCGCAAGACGATCCTGCACTTCTTTAGCCAGCAGCAGAAGTGGCGGCTGGTGCACGACCCGAAGTTTGAGTCCGGAAGAAGAGTCCACAAGAAGGCCATGGAGAAGAAGCTGAGAGAGCTCCAGGAGCAACAAGTCTCCTTTGTCACGGCCCTAAAGGCGATGGCACAGAAGCATCGCTGGCCGTGGGATGACGCCATGCAGGACCCATTTTTGTAACGGCCAAAAAGGCCAGGAGTATGGGGAATGCAAGCTTGGCGGTTGCGCACTTGACATGCACACTCCGCAAGGGCGGGGCTCGAGCCTTTTAGGTGAAACAGGGCGCGTGTGTCCTTTTTGGTCCGGTGGTGGGCCACGGGTTGCGCTGCGGTGAGCGCATTGCACTTCTCTTTTGTGGTGGAGCATGCAGATTTCTCCCGGAGAACCCTCGTGATCGACGAGACGCCTTTCCCGTCCGACCCTTCACTGCAGATCGCGCGCGTTGGGCCAGAGTCTCCAAGCGAAGGTGGCACGCTCCGCAACCACCTTTAGCCAGACGAGAAGAATGCAATCGAACCTCTGGGAAAAAGCATCCGCATGATTCTTGCTGATAAAGAATTGAAATACTTTCAATCGGGACTGCAGCATGCCTTGCGGCTACATCACAAACCCTTGTCTTGCGGGAACTCTAGCGAACAGAAAGAGGAGCAGTTACTGTAGTTGGGGTGTGTTCCTAAGGCTTCATGCAACGTATGCACACCTCAATGGTCTCGTTTGTGTGACAGCAACTTCGAGGCGGAACTTCTTGTCTTCGTTCGAGGCAGAGCGGCTACTACGTGACTATGCCCCTTGGATCAGGATGCTCACACACTTTCCGTATTCAATTGTTGTCTCACAGATGATCCAATGAGCCTAGATTCAGTGCTGAAAGGTTTTGGGAATCGGTGCCAGGCCCCTCACTCACCTCTAAAGCATGCCCCTCGGCAAGCCACGCATCTCTTTTCTATGACAACTTCGTCACACCAACGGAACTTGGAACTGTTGCACCCTTAGAATCCCCATCGGCTGCTTTGGCAGTTCTGGATCTCCCTTTGACCACCGACGAGCCCAACCGACCGACATTCCGCCGAGTTCCGATCTGAGGATGTGGAGCTGATCCCCGAGTTCGTGCGTCCGGGGGCCTGCGGTGTTCACCGCGTCTCGGTTGGTCCACAGGGGGCCTTTTTGGAGGGCAGTTCGGATGTGCACACCTAAGATGAACACCTATTTTTCTGGCCGTGGTTCGCTTGAAGAAACCAGGGTTAACAACAGGAAACAACCAAAAGTCACCGCCTTCACAGTTGTTTTTGATTGGTCCTGAAACGCATTTCACACACAGCTTTCTTTGCAGGTGCTTGGTGATAGGATTTCCACGGTTCGCGAATGCCAGGGGAGCCTTACCCAGAAAAGAGATGAACGATCATTGCTTCACAGGGTTTGAGGATGCAAGTGTTCAGGCAGAAGCACAGAATTACCCCCCTTACCCTTCTGGAGCTTGTGCAAAGCTCTTCAGAAAGATTGCATGGAACACCCTTTATATGGAGTTTGCATTGCTGGGGTGATTCATATTGATTTGGCCAAAGTATATCATGCTTCAATCAAAGCCTGAGGCCATGCAAACGCCTCCGGTGACCCCTACGTCATGCAGCGCTGTGCCAGGGGCTGAGGGGTGATGGGACTCAGCTGCTCAGGCTGTTTCAGGTGCTCGGTGAGGCTCGGAGGCCTTGAGTCGCTGTGGTTATACTTGACTAGGCCATTTCAGGATCCAAATATCCTTGACTGCTGTGTTTTGCAGACCTGTTGAAGTGGATCCTCAAGAAGATTCCGGCCAAATGTGAGCTGCCACCTGGCAAATCTGAGATTCTAGGATTCTTTTAACAGGAGCTTGGAACGTTTTGAACAAGTGAACAGGCACCGATCACGGGCTTTGTCCGCCAAGCAAGTGGGCGACCTTTCTTCTTTTTGGATTCTCAGGCCCAACTGACAGAAATATATACCACTATCAAATCTCAACTTGGCTCCCAGTGGCAGTAGCTTAGTAGGGTGATGGGCAGGTGTTTGTCTGAACACGAGCTGTGACCTTCCAAGCTTTTCTGAGATGGAGCGCTTTCCAGCCTCCTTCTGCAACTCGACGCCAGAAGCAGGCAAGCCGGGTGCAAATGGAGCTGATTCCGTATTTGGGATCTCTGGTCCGTCACTCCCATTTTGTTTGATGGAGTGTGGAGATTCATCCAAGACTCGTGCCAGGCACATGCATGAACCCTCCGCGTGATCTGCTTGTGAGTTGGACGGTCTTTTCAAGGGGCCCTGACACCAGGAGCAAGAAGCTACTTGCTCCTAGCAACTATTTGCTCCTAGTAGCGATGCCTGGAGCGCCTAGTAGAGCGAAGACCGAGTCAGAAAGCAGACGCGCGAGTCAGACAAACACGAGTCAGAAAGAACAAAGGCGCGAGTCAGAAAGCCGACTCGGCAAATCGCCGGCCGACTCGGCACAAAGCGCCGGCCGACTCGGCACACCGGCGCCGGCCGACACGGAAACCCGCCGGCCGACTCACGCCGGCCGACTCGCACCATGGCCGCCTAGTAGCTTCTTGTTACTAGTGGTACGGCCAGGAGCCCCTAGTAGCGTCCTTGCTCCTAGGAATTCACATTGCTTGATCCTATCACTCCCAAGAGTCATTCCTCTCTCTCTCTCCCAGGTCACACGAGTCACGCCTGGGTCCAGCTTATTGACGAGACAGTTTTTTATGTTTCTTTTCGTTTCTGTTCTTTTTCTTTTTAGATATATAAGTCTATATTTTCTTTTGTTTTTTTTGTATTTGTGTTCTTTTATTTTGTTTTTTCTACTTCTTTTCTTTTCGTTATTACTTTTATGTGTATTTTCTGCAGTTTCTTTTCTTTTTTTTGTCAGTTTTATTGTTTTTGTGATTTTTTTTGGGGTTTTTTTTAGAATGTTAAATAAATATTTTTGGTTTTTTTTATTTGCCTATTTGTGTTTTTTTGTATGTTTTCTTTTGATTTTTGCTTTGTCATTTTGTATCCTTTTCTTTTCTTTCCTTTTTGATTTTGGTTGTCGTTATATTATCACAGTTTTTGTTTTTCGTTCGTTTTTGTTCACTATTCTCATGGGGCGGGAAGTGGACGAGAGTTTTCGCAGTGTGGAGAATCAATGGCCGTAGGTTAAGGCCCACCGGTGGATTGATTCATAGAGGGGATAACCCCCAAAACGTGCCACCGACCAATAGGTCAATGGTACCTGGCACTGACCTCTTTCTTCTTCCCAAGTACGGACATCACTAGGAGAAGCTGGAGAACCGTTCGTTCTTAGGTTCAAGGCCATTGCTACTAGGTTGGAGGCCATCACCCGACCTATGGTACCATCGACCGACGTGGGGACCGACGGCGTACAGGTGACCGCTGCGACTTTCAATGCGATCAAAGGGTTTTTGCCAGCCAGGCAGCGGGATGGGTGGAGGATCAGCCACTTGTGTTTTGAGTTGGGCTTATCGCAGTGATTCTTACTATGGGGCAATCCAACCAGAAAGATGGAACGACATGGGAAGGCAATTTTTTCGACGATCTCACATTCGTTTGCTTGAGGATGACGCTGAACATCGAGTTTCTAGCATGATTCTTTTGATCAAATTTGCTGCCGGCTTCCTTCCTCCTCAGCTGCCATCCCTGAGAGAGAGAGCAGTAAAGGCTGCAACATAGAGCAAGATTTTCTGAAGGCGGGATACATTCAGACACTGCGAGGATTACCTGCTGTGCTTCTGCTTGAAAATAGGCCCGGATCCTGATTCTCACCGACTCTTTTTCGCTTTTCAGAAATCTTTGGGTTTCCCACATCTTCCTCAAAACTCCAAACCGGCTTTTTCAGGGTCCAGACTCCAAACCGCACCTGCTTTAGTTCCTTCGACGGTGGAGGTCATGGGCAAGGTGCACGAGCGCATCAGCTCCACGGTGCAGCTCCCTGAGGACCGTTGCGGTCGGAGGGGACGCTGCAGACAGAGGTGGAAGACGTGACATGCGGGTTGACATATGGTCATATGATCTGGGGCTGGTAGGAGGTCACATGGCGGGTGGGCTCCAGTGCGAAGGAGTGGGTGATGGGATGGGCATTTATCTTGGTTTCTTGATTGAAGTTTGGGATAGGCCCGGCAGGATTGACCAGGACAGAATGTATCCTTGATCCGGAATAAGTTGTCAGAACAAGACACTTCTAAATTTGAGGAAGATAACAGACTTCATCTGAGGTATGTTGGGAATCCCTCATTAGGCCTTGTACTTTTCAAGATTACTGTCGAGGGAGTCACCTGCAAACTTGAAGTTTCACAGGATTATCAACAGGAGGACAGTGTCTAGGATCGTGGGGTTTTAACTCCTGTATGTGTTTTCACAGTTGTTTTTATCTAATCAACGATAGGAAGTGACTTCAGAGAGCACTCATTCTCGCATTTTTGCCTGCCGTGACATGGCTCAAGCTCTTCACTTTACAAAACACAAACTGTTTCAGCAGGCTGCCCTTGCAGCCTGCGCTTTTCACCTAAAACTCCATAGTGTGCCCCGCTCGAACTCGAACTCGAACTCGAACTGAAACAGTTATACAGTATTGATGAACTTAACCTTGAAAGGATATATATGGAAGGAACCGAACTCGAACTCGAACTCGAACTGGAACTGTTAGAAGTCAACCCAGTGGACGAATAGAAAGAGTCGAACTCCAAAATCGCTGTCGTCGATTCGAATTCGAACTCGAACTCGAACTGGTCCCCCCCCCGGTGTCAAAATTGTCGTCGATTCGAAATTCGATCTCGAACTCGAACTGCGTTTCCCCCCCTCCGGGCGTCAAAATTGTCGTCGATTGGAATTCGAACTCAAACTCGAACTAGTTCCCCCCCCGGAGTGAAAAAATTATCGTCGATTCGAAGTCGAATTCGAACTAATGCTGCGTTGTAATGGCTCCTTCCTATTCTAAATTTCACCTTCAAATGGCCCATAACAGGAATGCTACAGTGTAATATAATGGCTCCTTCCGGCTGTAAATTTTACCCTCGGGTGGCCCACAAAAGGCATGCTACGTTGCAATGGCTTCTTCCTTTTCTAAATTTTACTTTCGAATGGCCCATCAAAGGAATGCTACGTTGTAAATCGTTGTAATGGCTCCTTCCTACTCTAAAATTTACCATCGGGTGGCTCACAAAAAGAAATGCTTCGTTGTAATGGCTCCTTCCTGCTCTAAATTTTACCCTCGGGTGGCCCACAAAAGGCACGCTACGTTGCAATGGCTTCTTCCTTTTCTAAATTTTACCCACGAAAGGAATGCTACGTTGCAATGGCTTTTT